TTATTTGAACGCCTGACAATTGCACACTTTCAGCTTATAGTGCACATGTTCACCCTAAAGAAATGCTGAGTCAGTCAGTTGCATAATTATTTATATCTTCCACATCCTCTCTCAAGCTGGAGTTTACTGCTTTATTCCAAGGTTGTCTTTGAGGAACAAAAACCTGGTTTGTACAAGTGGTTTAGTTAAAAAATCTGTAATTTGATATGATGATGGAACATATTGTATGCTTAGCTTCTTTTCGAGAACTCTATCTCTAACAAAAAGGATGTCAAGCTCAATATGCTTTGTTCGTGCGTCATAGATAGGATTTGAGGCCAGGGCACTTGCACTGAGATTATCATAACATAGTATAGAAATTGATCCAGGATGTAATTTAATTTCCGCATGTAGTGATTCGATCAAAACTATCTCAGCAGTTGCATGTGCTGCTCAGTATTCTGACTCAGTACTAGACCTAGCTACAACTTGCTGCTACTTGGATGACCAAGCTACTAACGTATCTCCCAAATAAATGCAATAACTTGCTCTTGCTCTTGTGTCATCAGGGCACGATGCCAATTAGCAACAACAAAACCAGTAATGTGTATTATGTCACTTCTTTGAATCCATAAGCCTTGTTTCTTCGATGGTCCCTTTTAGATACCTTAAAATTCTTTTTATACCTTCCAATGTACATCTGAAGGTTCCTGTAGAAATTGGCTCATTTTATTTACTGCAAAAGGTATATCAAGCCTTGTACTAGCAAGATATTGTAATCTACCTATTGCACTTCTGTGCATAGAAGGATTTGTCATCTTTTCACTTTCACTTTTGGAAATGTACTTGCCAACTGACATAGGTGTTGCACAAGGTCTAAGGTTCTCAAAATTGAAACTTTTTAGCAAGTCCGTTGTGTATTTGATCTAAGTGAGACTCATTCCTGATTCATGCCTGCTAACTTCAATTCCCAGAAACTGATGCAGCTTCCCCATATCTTTTAGTGCAAATTGTGTGTTCAGATTATCAATAAAACTCTACAAAAGTTTATGATCATTTCCTGTGATCACTATATCGTCAACATGTACCAAGGCAAATATGACTTGTTTCTGGTTCATGTAAAAGAATAAGGAATTATCTGCTTTGGACTTCATAAACCTCTATCCTAGAAGTGTCTTCTTCAGTTTTTCATACCATGCTCTGGGTGCTTGCTTGAGTCCTCAAAGAGCTTTTTCAAGCTTGCACACAAACATGGGATTCCTCTTGTCAATGAAGCCTTTAGGCTGGCTCATGTAAACTTCCTCTTCTAGCTTTCCATTTAGAAAAGCATTGTTTATATCAACCTGCTTGATACTCCATGCTTTTGAAACTGCCAATGCTAGAATTATTCTTAGAGTCGAGGCCTTGATTACTAGACTGAAGGTCTCATAGAAGTCGACACCTGGGGTTTGCGAAAAACCCTTTGCAACTAGTCTAGCTTTGTACTTCAGTATCTTCCCTTTACTGTTGTGTTTGGTTCTAAAAACCCACTGTTTTCTATCACCTTTTAATTTGGCGATGGTGGTACTAGTTTCCAAGTTCTATTTCTCATCAATGCTGTGTACTCTTCCTCCATAGCCCTTCTCCAATTTTCACTTGATAGTGCTTCAGGTACATTGTTTGGCTCTTGTCTTAGTTGATCTTCTTTGCATTGGGCCGAGTAGACTTTTGGCTTGAAAATGCCAGCTTTACTTCTAGTAGTCATGGGATGTCCAACATTTTGTTTGTCCAATTCCATTATCCTATGATTTGGATCACCAATTATTTCATCATGTTCCAATTGATCATCTTCCATTCTTTCTTGACATTCACCCACGGTGTCCTCATTACAGGTATCAAGACATTCATCAACTTCTGTCATTATCTTAGACCCTTCAGTTTGACCAATACTGTGAGGTGTTGCTGTAGGAGTTGTGTCAGGATGAACCGCATCTGTTGAGGAAATTGGGTTATAATCTAAGGATGTAAAGAAAGGTAGGTATTAGATTATGACTTCAGATTTCTGGGTCTTGTCTGTTTTGTTGAGAAAACCAGATTTGAAGGGAAGTTTATTTTCATTGAAGATCACGTCTAGAAGTATAAATTCTACCTATAGGACAGAGGCATTTGTACCCTTTATGTGAATTGCTAAACCCAAGAAACACAGACTGTGGAATGAAAACTAAATTTTTGTTTTTGATAAGGTCTAAGGCAAGGGAAACATGCATAACCAAAAACCTTTAAGGATTTGTAGTCAACCTTTTCATTGAATAGAACTTAGCAGGGTAATTTCATCTTTAGGACTGGTGTTGGCACTTTATTGATCAAGAAGGTGGCTGTATAAAAAGATTTCCACCAATAGTTTAATGGCATGCTAGCCTGGGCAAAGAGTGTTAGGTCAGTCTTTGTTATATGTCTGTGTTTTCTTTCAGCTCTCCCATTTTGAGCTGATGTGTAAGGACAAGAAATTCTCATACTAAAATTCTAGATTGCAGGGCTAGGTCAGTAAAGGCTTTAAACTCACCGCCCCAGTCTGATTGAAGGACTTTTATTTTCCTATCAAGTTTGTTTTTAACCAAGGCTTTGAATTGGGTAAACGCATTTAGTGACTCTAATTTGTTTCTCATGGGGTATATCTGCTATAGTCATCAATGAAAATGATATAGTACTTAAAACCACAAGTAGAATTAAGAGGTGCAGGGCCCCAAACGTCTGTGTGAACTAGATCAAAAGGAGCTGAGGCTTGTGAGTCAGACAAGTTAAATGGTAGATGTAATTTTCCAAATTGGCATGCATCACAGAAATGATTGATTTCAATGCCATGAATAGTTTTATAACAAGATTTGAGCACTTGTGACATCACATGTTTAGTAGGATGTCCAAGTCTCATGTGCCATAATTTAAAACTAAGCTCTGATTTTCTGGCACTTTTGGTGACATCAGGGCTTTGGATTTGGCTACAAAAGTTGAGAAGTTTGATTTGTTCGGATTTGCTGACACTAGGCAGGAACACTTTTTGGCTTGATCAATTTGATACAGTCCATCCTTAATCTTCCCTTGCGGCAACACCTCCTTCATTTGTTTGTCCTTGATAACACAAAAATCAGAATGAAACTCCATAAAAACATAGTTACCAGAAGTCCATTGTGAGATACGAATCAAGTTTTTCTTAATTGATGGCACCGGTAAAGTATTATTCAGAATTAATGACTTGTCATTTAGGGCATTCAAGCATTTCGTACCAATGTATGAGATATGAAGCTTATTTCCATTTCCAACCACGAGACTTTCCTTACCACCATATTCATGTGCTTCAGTCAGACTTTCTTTCTCACCAGTGACATGGTTACTAGCTCCTAAATCTGCATACTAGGCCGGGTTAGCAATGGTACTTGGTGATGCTATAAAGGCAGTTGGTTCTGGTGAATTGTTTTTATACTGCTGATCAGGCTTGGTACCCATGTATCTATCATCATAACAATTGAGACACCTTTCTGCTGAGTGATTGTTCATTCCACAAATTTGACATTGACCTTTGCTACCTATCTGTCTGCCTCCTCTTCCTCTGTTTCTTCCCCTGTAGTTGCTGCTTCTACTACTAAAGCTGGATCTACCTCTTCTGTTCATATTTGGTTTGTGTATTGCTGATGCTTGACTCAGATTTACTGAAGCCATACTGTTCTTCATAGAATTGAGATGTTCAATTCTGCTTTCATAGGTTATGACTGTGGACTGCAACTCATACCATGTGATGGTCTCTCTACTATTGATCTGCACAACAATAGGAGTGTAATCCTCATCCAAGCCAGCTAACACTTGAGTTACCAGATCATTGTGAGGAATAGTTTTTCCAGCAATTTCAAGGTTGTCTGCTAACTGCTTAATTGTATTGAGATATAGATCAATGCTCATTGATCCTTGTTCTCTGGAGTTTACCAACAAGGATGGTTACTCTTGACTTGTTCATAATTCCAAATCTTTCTTGGACTGCATTCCATTTATCACAGGAGTTTGAAGAACCCATTACTCTCATAGCGATTTCAGGTGTCATTGATGAATATAGCCAACCCATCAGTAGTTTATCAATAGACATCCACCTTCCATATTCAACATTTGGTGTTAATTCAACAGTTTCATTAGTAAAACCTGTGGTTTGTGTTCCCACAAATTCTGAAAGGACATTTCCTTGTTCCTAGAATGAAACCTTCCAGTTTATGACCTTTAATAATGGGCATAACCATGTTCTTCCATAGCAAGAAACTGTTCCTGTTAAGTTTCACCGGTGGGATTTGGGTGAGGCTTATCCCAAAGGAGGACATCTAATTTCCTCCCAACAATGGAGGTATCAGTGTGCTGGAAGTCGAGTGAGCTGATTGTGCACTGTCATTGGATCTAGTGTTAGCCATTTTGTTGCTCTAATACCAAGTTAAAGAAATAGCTGAACTTAACAAAATGTATATTGATTTTTGGATACCGTCTACAGCAAGCTCAATACAATATTAATATACACACTTGGAGTGCTGAGCAAGAAAAAAAAGAATCTTATCTTGTGCAATACATGTGAGAATCAAATACAGGTACAACAAATAACCAAGGTTCCTAACAATTGCACTCTCTCAGCTCATGATGCACATATTCACCCTAAAGAAATGCTGAGTCAGTCAATTGCATAATTATATATATATCTTCCAACAAAATATAATATATAAATAGCAGTTGTCTTATGCACCGGCAGAATTTGTACTTTTGTTTCTATTGTTTTTTCTGGAAAAATCCTTTTGAGTACAATTTTTTAAAGTTTCTTGTATGTTCTTTCCCTTAAATTGTACTTCGTTCTGCCCTTACATTTTCTAATTTGCCAAATATTGTGAGTTGTGCATACGTCTCTCTCTCTCTCTCTCTCTTCATAGGAATGCTTTTACACTTTATTATGTTTTCCTTAAGTTTCTGAAATTTGTCCTTTTTGTTTGCAAATGTATTCTTCTGTTTGTTTATTGAATACAATAACAGTGAAGATGAGCGAGGTAAGATGCTTCTATCCTAGAACTGACCTCAAATCACAATTTGTTGGAATCTTGGATTTGAAGGTGTTGGGAAGTTTGCTCCATGGTTCAAAGTGACAAACAAATTATTTGTGCCCAACTTGACGTAGGATATAGTTGGTATTCCAGCAGAGAACTTTTAAGCAACGGTAGAGAAGAAGATAGTAGCACGGGAGAAGATAACCACAACAAGAAGAAGAAGCAAGGAAGAAGAGAAGCAAGAAAGGAGGGAGGAACCGGAGAAAATGGGGGAAGGAAACTGGAGGAGAAACAAGGAGGAGGAGATAAGCTCGATCAGCAAGCAAAAATCATTACGTTTTTATCATTCATCATTAAAGTTTTAAAGTTTACTAACAAGACATATATAGAGGAAATAAGCAACCCATAGAGGGGTATGGGCTAAACCTATTGTACAAGCCCAGTTAAAACTAATAAAGCATAAATGAAGAAAACCCAGAAGTAGGTGATGTCCTCATCACTATTGTGCTAACAAATTTCTTCATTTGACACAATGAGGAACTCTCATATTGATTTTTTCAATTCATATTTACGGAGTACTTGGGAGAGAAATGTAATAGTGTTACAGAAAATTGGCATCCCATAATTCATAGATCATGACTTTTTAAGTACAGTAGATAAAGTTAATATTTTTTAGCAGGATAGATAATAGATGGCAATTAACTTTTCTTTTCCACAATACACAATTAGGTAAGGGATGAAACATCTATCTTTGTGCCCAATTTGTAATTTGAGTCGTGAAGTTAGCTTTAAAGTCAAAACCAGGGGAGTGATGACGGAGCGTTAAAATGATCCCAAAAGTCATTAGCTAGAATGTGAGGGGGTTTAATGAAACTGAAAAAAAGGCTAGGTATTCAAAATTTGTTGAGGGGATGGAGGGCAGACCTTGTCTGCCTACAAGAAACTAAGTTAGAGTTCGTCTCAAGGGTTGTGGTTAGTCTTCAGGAGGCGTGCTAGTCATATGGGATGCTAGAGTTTTTGATATGGAGGAGGTTAGTGTGGGGATATTCTCTATAACGTTCTCATTTAGAAATATTAGGGATAGATTCCAGTAGATGTTTATAAATTTATGGCCTAACTTTGATGAGAGTAGAGGGGGTTTGTGAGATGAGTTCATTGGTATGATGGTTTAGTGGAATCTCCCAACGTATATTGGGAATGATTTTTAATGTGATTTGGTTTCCTTTTGAAAGGTCTAGTGGCGGGAGACTAACAGGGGCTATGGAGGACTTTTCAGATTTTATTAGGGAGGACATGTTGGTAGATATGTCTATGATTGGGGAAGACTTTACTTGGTCATCTAATTAGGACTAACTTGTTCTATTTCGTATAGATCGGTTCTTGACTAATGGAGATTGGGAGACTAAGTACTCAGATGTCACTCAGAGGAGATTAGGGAGGGTGTATTCTGATTATTTCCCTATTTTGTTATCTGGGAATACAAGGGGTAGTGGAAGAAGGTTTTTTAGGTTTGAGAAGATGTGGTTAATAGTAGAAGGCTGTTGGGAGCAAGTACGGACTTGGTGGGCTTTCTATGATGTTAGGGGATCACTCGGTTATGTGTTGGATCAGAAGTTGAAGGCTTTGAAGAGGGATTTAAAGAGGTGAAATGAAGAGGTAGCGGGCAATGTAAACTGTCGTAAAATGCAATCTCTTACAGGCATAGAAGAGTTGGATAGGCGAGAGGAGAGTCAAGGGTTGGTTGGGGTGAAGAAGAAGAGATGTAAAGTATTAAGGGGAGAGTTGGAGAGGTTGGTCTAGATGGAGGAGATTGCTTGGCACCAGAAATCTAGGGTCACGTGGTTGAAAAAGGGGGAACAAATGCACCAAATTTTTCCATAAGGTCGCTAATTTTAACAAGTGCAACAATTCTATCACATTGTTCAAGGTAGATGGGGTTACTTAGACTCACAGGATATTGGGTCCCAAATGGTGAGATTGTATTAGAATCTCAATTGGGAGCAGTTTGTGTGGAGGTTAGAGTTAGAAGGACTGAATTTTTCTACTATCGCGGAGGAGAATGCTGGTTGGGTAGAGAGATTGTTTGGGGAGGATGAAATCGTTTAGCACGAATGATGATAAGGCACAGGACCGGACGATTTCTCGTTCTCATTTTATAAGGCGTGCTGAGAGGTGGTGTGACCAGATTTGGTAGTAAACTGACCGCCGTAATCTGCCTTCTTAAAACTATCCTGATTAATATAGCATTTTCACTCCCATTCCCAGTCTGATTAATGATATTGTAATTGACTTGAGTGATCCAATCACAGTAGGACCTTTATCTCCTAAGACTGGTTGACTTGAGTAACATTGGCTGCCTATTCACGGGAGATTGATCTGGAGAAGTACTAGCTGCTTCCTCCCAACATCCAACTCATCACTAGAGATATTGTCATCCCTGTACTCATATTTACCGGTGGTCCCTTGGCACAAATATAGAACTTCTTCACCATAACCATGGAAAGATATCCCCAAAGATATAGAGTTTATGTTGGGGCAAGGTCGTCTGCTGTGACAAGCTTAGACTTTTCATAAAATATTTTAACACGGATATGCCCCCTCAATTGGAGTGTTTGTGCTTCATAACAAGGGGGAAAGGAAGATCCAAAGCACTTAGACATCACAACTTGCCATGTTAGTTTTGGTGCATCCGTCCCTCGTCTAAGATAAATGTAAAATTAATGATAATGACAGGAACATAATTCTGGATCTATGCGTACTGTTGTACATAAAATAAATGCATGTATCTGTAACCCTTTCTTCAATTTTTTATGCACATCAACAAAACAATCAAAATTCCAAGATCTTGGACTCTCCCAATGGAAGTACAGCAGTTTTACATTTTATTTTAAAACACTCTCACCTCTTGGTATCATTCCTTTCTTCTAATTAAAGGCTCACAAACTATACTGAGCCTTAATTTTGAGTACATAATACGTAGATTTGGCAACCATCATATTTGTTCATTTACAAGCAACAACCAGTTGAAGGATTCTGGTAGTTCAGAGTATCCAAAGCTCGATTTACAAATTTTAAGAGATGAGAGATGGTCTTTTGTTGATTTTCACTTGGTGCTGATATGTTTTGAAGCTTGACAATGTTATTCTTGGTGGCTTGGTGGTATATGTGTACTATCTCTTGGCCTTCGTTTTTATTCAAGTATTTTATGGTCTTCTGCATGTTGATTATAGATTCTTGCCTCTATACTTGCCTTTATTAAATTATATACATCATTCTCTATTCTTTTGTGTTGTAGAAGTGTCTGATATTCTATATCATCCAGGGACCTTGACAATGGGTGGATTGCCAATACAGAACTCTTCTTCCGTCGTCTCTTTGCAATCGCAAAAAGACCAAGGCTCAGGCATTGTGACACCCGCCTCTGATTCAAAGCCGAAGAAGATCTGTTGTGCTTGCCCTGATACTAAGAAGCTGAGAGATGAATGCATTGTGGAGCACGGGGAATCAGCTTGTGAAAAATGGATCGAGGCTCACAAAAGATGTCTCCGGTCAGAAGGTTTCAACGTTTGAAATTGAGAAAATTAGACAATACATTTTGTGATTCTTACTAATCCATTTAGTGGTCAACTCTAGAAAGCTAAACACGGTGCCAAGAAGTTGTTTGACATAAAAGAAACAATTCTTATTTGGGAATGGGAATGAGAAATAAATAAAACGAGAACAGTTTGTTTTAATTGTTTTTTGGAAATATTAAGGTCTTTTACCTTACAATTTGTTCTTTATGGGGAAAAATGAAAACGTGTAGTTAGCACTCATTTGAATCATAGCCTGAATTACTTGATTCAAGCATGAACTTGAAATATGATATTTTTATTAATATTTATTGGTCTTCAGTTTTTCCTTTACTCAAATTTACACAAAATTTTACATATACGACATCAATGCATTACGAACAAATAGATATAGAATCCAAGGTCTCAAGAATCAAATACTAAAGATTGTATAGCTAGTCAATCAAATGACTAGACACGATCAGACAAAAATTTGAAAATAAGGAATATAAGATTCAACAAAACTGATATATTTAATGACATCAAAGCCATGTCTAGGTCTAATCTAAGGTCATCATAGTGGATGAGATGAAAATGTGTCGAGGAACAATGCGAAACTGCAATTAGATGTAATGGGAAGGCAAAACGCTGCCCACTAATATCGCACCACGTCCTGGAGGCAATCGTAGAAATGTGACATTTGGATCTTTTCTTTGCCAGTATATATGGCTTCTGCTGCTCCACCATCTTCCCCTTGAGCAGCCATTTCAACAACCATGTAAAGCTTCTTGATAGGCATCTAGAGAATCAACAAAAATAGATTAGCTCAATTTATCTTGTCCATCAGAGATACAATTTTTCTAATAGCAAGCTTGTGGCCAGACTACATCTATTTGACAGTTGCTTTCTATCATAACTTTTTTCACTAATGTCTACCAGTATAAAATCTTACAAGTTCCCTTTATTTTGGTCTAATTACCTCCTTGTTGCTTGGACGAGCAGATAAAGAGAGGTTGAATTTTACACTTACATCATTTAATGCCTCAGCAGCGGAATCCACATCATCAGTTGAGAAAACATTAAGTTGCTGTAACACCTGCAATGAAAGTTCAATCATTAGATAGAAAGAGGTATGGTTCCGGTTGTGCAAATAGGAGATTCAGGAAATTTGAATTGCACATTATAAATTAACATGGAGCAGGTAAAGAGAAGGATTTCGAAAACAGAAAACAACCTACCCTACCATACCCTAAAAATTACATTTAACATATAAAAGAAACTACCCTACCCCACAAAGAATTACATTTAACATATAAAAGAAAACTCACCAGATAAACAACTTCGAAGCCAGTGAGAGAAACAAATGACCAGAACACTGAACATGAACTTAATTTCTACATCAAAAAGCCACTTGTCCATTCTCAAAATGGGGTTTACATGCTTAGTCATTGCTTAAGCTTTAAGCTAATGAAACCTTTCAAATTCCAAACTTATTACTTTCTTTTAATGAAAGCAAGAAAGAACGATACATTTAAGCAAGATCCTTAGGACAAAAAAGGTAGCACTAGAAAGAAAAGAGACTTGATTAAGACAGTTTAACTTGAGTATCAAGTACAGAAAGTAAGAAAAACCAAATTGCGATCCTCCCAGTTTTAATTCAATATTGTACAATTTCAAAGCATGTTACCAAACTCGTGGCAATTTTAAATTCTCTTTCCTACATTTTGCACATAAGAAGGTCAACTGCACTTGACTGGTAGAAAAAGCAGATATTGGTAGCTGCAGAAATGAATGGGAATAAGGACTCCAATGTACCTTTTTAGCGTCTTCTGTTTTTAATGTTGGAACATGGAACGTGACAGAGAATGCATCTCGAATGCCAATTGAATCTAAGAAATTGACCTCACTTGTAGTTCCAATCACAAGGATTTTTTTCCCCTATAAAGATTAGATAAGAAATAAAATAATATTAGAGGAGCTGAGAAGCAAAGGAGAGTTATATCATGATGCAGTCTACAATGTAACTAAACCTACTTGAAGCAGGAGGAAAACATATAAGCCTAAATTACCAAAAGTGCGGAATTAACTAATAGAGAAGCTAAAAATTAATGCTTACAACAATAGTCTGCTCGAACAGGTAAGAGTTATTAACTTCATAGAACTTCATAAAAGCGTATTGTCATCACTTGTCTTCTAAAGAGTTAGTATAAGGTTTCATGATTGCAGTTTAGATCTGAACACATTCCCTTTAACTGTAATAATATCTTTGTTATTGCCTGAACATGTCAAACCACGAGCTTTGCCAGGCCCAGATAGGCCCGCTCACTTACAGACCAGCCTGTAAACTGGACCGCAACAGTGTGGCCCTGTCCTCATGCTATCACACCCTCCTAGGCAGGCCGGTCTGGTTTTGGGGTATGACCCGAAGGTTAACTGCGGCCTATGTACAAACTAAAGGAAAAAAGTAAACTTCCCAATTTGAATGCATAATCAAGGCAGAAATCAGATTAACCTGCCTTCATTAAGAAATTTCAGCCATAATACAATGGAAGCAAAACTAATTAATTCTGCCAATTGATTATTGCCATTTGCCTCTATCAAAACAAAGAAAATTAATTGATTCTGAGTCAGTCTTGATTTAATTAAGACAGCACTTAATGCTATCTTGATTTAATCAAGGCATAACAATTACCATCTCAATTAAACCAAGCCATTAAGCTGTATAAATTTCAGAGAATTTGATTTTAAAGAAATCAAAGACTAAAAACAACCCGGTTGGCTCTGGACCTGCCGCTTTTGGATGGGCCAGTGGGCTGGTCCAGCATGGGCTTAGAGAGAATAACCGGTCCGGCTCCAAATCGAACCAATAGCCCGGTCGGTCAATCTCAATAATTTTTCGAGGTCCGTGCCAGTTCATGCATTCTATTATTGCTCAAATGCATTCTCAAGTACCTTTTTGTTTTTCTCTTTATCATTCATACTGTGCAGGTCCCTCTTACAAGAAATATCAACTATCTTACCAATTTTGTTGGTTTCACACAAAGCAAATGACAATCTCTTTCGCACTTCTGACAAAAATCATTTACTAAAGAAAGAACATCTTGCTTCCAGCATCAAAACCAGAGCAAAAATAATAACAAATTAAGGGCCAATGACACTTGTTGTCCCTAAACTTTCCAGAGTCTCAATTTAGTCCCTGAGTTTCAATTTCAAGTTTTCAACGCATAATTACCTCAAATTTGGTCACAGTGTCATCCACTATGCAACCAGCTGTTGATCAACAGGTGGAAAATGAATCGAGTGAATAGTGTATTCTTGTATTCTAAAGTCAGTTGGCATAACTAACCCTCAGAGATGACCCAAACTTTTGAACTCTCAGAATATTTGAGACATAACTCGGTGTTATCACAGAGAAAAAGTAGCATAAAGCATCCTTTCAATAAGGATTCAAATTAACTATAGCCTTTACTGAAGCCTCAGTATTCAGAAGTTACCTTCGGAGGAAGCCGTTTCATGAGCACCAACAATGTCTGAGAAATCAGATTTGAAAATCGGGGTCCAATGGCAACATACTCCAATAGCCTGCATGAGCAAACAGAGATTAGACAAGAATGCAAAAGAACAAAAAAATATATATATATTCTTCTAGAATCAAAAGTAGCTACCTTTCGATATCATCAAGGATAATTATGCTTAATGGTGACTTATAAGCATCCTCGAATACCTATCAGAAAACGTATCACGTGATATACCTCAACTCTATACATAGAGCATATAAGTTACATGTATCTAAATGTGACAAAATATATCTATCAAGTAAAAAGATTCTAGAGTACACTTCATGGCACTCAATAAGGACAAAATGTCCATAAGATGAACAAGGTAAACTTGAGAACATTAAAAAGATGAATAGCCAAATTGAAGAGAAGGCTTAGCCCATTGTATCTGTAGATATTTTTGGAATCATATAGATGTATTAAGATAGAAGGCTAAATAGAATCAAGATATCCTTTCCAAAGAGGGTGAACTGCTAGATCAAAAAATGGAGGAAAGTTTATGATTCAGAACCTTGACTATCTGAGCGCATTTACTTCCTTCACTAAGCCCAATCATCGATTCGGCAGATATCTAACAAACAAAAAAATTTAAATCAGGAAAATATTAAAAATAAGAATATGAGAGGAAAAAATGAACACAAATATGTAGACGCTCAGCATAAGCATGCAAAATCACTTACAATCTTGACATATGGAAAATCGCTATCAATGCCAACAGTTGCTGCCATCGCAGTCTTACCACTGTCACAGGCAAATAAAATTTAGAAGATTATTAGCAATTAACACATTGAAACCAAAATAAGACAATATTTACCTGCCACTTGGACCTTCGAGAAGACAAGTAACAATAGGGCTTCCTTGACTGACTTTAACTTGTTCAGCCAAGAGCATAGTTCTTCTATATATGTGGTCATGCCGCTCACCACATTCCACTACACCATTAAGTCTGAAATACATAATAAGTTGATTATCTCATTTTCCGATACAAGAGCCCATTATGAAATTTAATGGTAGTCGGATATAAACACAGGAAGGCAGAAGCGCCCAATTAACAACACGTGGTGGATTGTGAGAAATATTACATAATCTACCCAATGTTTGAAAAGGTGTAATTGGGAACCAAGGTGATTTTCCTTATGAAGCGAAGCGTAAACCAAAAAATGTCAAAATTTTATTAAAATGCAAAATAAGCTCATAATAAATCATAAGCAATCTTCAAAATCCCTATAGAACGATTTAAAGAGTGCAAACAAACAAAAGAAAAATATATAAAGGAAATATTATTTTAGCTGGTGAGGACAGTTGACTATTCCAAAAGTGGTATACAAGAAACATAATTTTTTAGCGGGGGCATTGGACTATTCTCAGAAATGGTCAATCAAAAATGGCCCTTGAATTGGATCACAAGGTCGTCGGTTAATATTCCATGAAAAGTCATATGTAGGTTGTGTGATAATTTGATTGACATGCCTCAGTATTAAGAGTGTTAATGTAAAATTTATCTTGCAGTAACAGACTAATAGTAAATATAATACAAAGTCTATTGTACCATTAAGTTAAAAATTCTCCTAATTAAAAGGAGCTCATGATAAAAGAAAAAGAACTCCTTTGGTTGAGTAAATAAACCTGCAACGCTCAAGGTCATCAGTAGAAGCTCCAAATGCTGGAATTACTTCTTGAAGGGCATTCAAAAAATCATCCATGGTC